GATCGAGTTGATTGATTTAACTGTTTTCTGTGTCCAGTGTTATGTGTGGGTGATGAGTGGATCTGGGGTTTGATGTGATTTCTTTTAGTAATGGGGGTATGGTTTCACTTGGGGGTATGAGTAATTTGGTGTAGTTGGACTGTGTGAAGTTGAAAGGTTGAATTTTTTTTAGGCAGGATTTAGTAAGCTGGGTATTGGAGAACATTCAAAGGGTAATCTATATGTGAATAATAGTTTGATTTGGAGATGAATTTCTACTGTTTCGACTATCTGTATACAAATTTTTATGGCGTTGATATTTTCGTATGCATTATTTACTTATTTTGTATTTNGCGAACAAATTTCATTTTGCTTATATTTCTTAACTGGAATACTAGTTTTTAATTATTTTTTAAAATCAAATTTTTCTTTCAAAATTTTCTCATTATACATTGATATACATTTACAATTTTTTTCATTTTCCACGAAATGTTTATCTTTTTATTCTACAAATACAAGTACTTATACATCCTTATTCAACTTAGTTTGTAACTTAATTTAGTTTTAAATTTATCATTTTCTTGTTCTCTCTTGTATTTGAACATACTTTTGTTACTTAATCAAATGAATTTGAGGTTTGCATGCTTGAACTAACTTACAAAGAAAAATAATATTGATAAACTAATGAGATAACATTCTTTATATTTTCTTCTACAATCGATGACATCATTTGCTCCACTAACGATATAATGACATCATAAATAGTCATGTATAGGTGAAATTTATGTTGTTGATGATATAATATGTTGTTATATACAAGAAATGTGTTTTAATCTTAGGTTTTGTTAGTAAAAGAAAAAAAGCTACAAAGGTTGAAAGCACCATAGTAAAAGAAACATCGAGAGCAAGTGTAACTTATAGGATCTTTATAGTATCTTTATAGTATATTTCTTTTTATGAAATAACACTCTTATAATAAAGTCATGTTCTAAATTCTTTTTACAAAAGTTATTCCTTAGTATTCAACCTTTGTTTTGGTTATAGTAAAAAGTTATGGAAAAAAATATATGAAGTTCTTAGTTCATGGGTAGGGATGGAAAAAAAACCGAGTCTGTGGGTAAAATCTGTTGTAGAGAGTTGGTACCTGTAAGTAATAGGTACCTGCAGGTAGCGGTAGTGGGTAATTTAATACCTGCTCATTAACGGATCGGGTTCGGGCATCATAATACTCGTACTCACGGGTATTCGCTAGCCGTTTAAAAAATAAAATTATACTTTTATCCCATTAAGTTATCTTATTGTAAGTTGTTGTGTTAGTGTGCACTTCTTTTTATTTGATTTCTATGTATCTCTTTGTCGCCATGTTCTCTCTGAAGATTCAATAGAAAATCGTAAGTGAGCCATCAGCAGGTAAGCAATTAATTGACGAACCACATTCAAATTTAAATGTGTTCTGGGTTAGCTAAACTTTAATGAAGTAACGAACATTGGTTAAAAGTTTTTTGTTTTTTACTTCAATTCGATACAGGTGGGAAGCTCGTTTACAAAGTACCAAGAAGAGGGCTAACAGACCTAGTGCCCATCACTAGCAAAATGATTTAAGGGTGTGCCTTTTGTTACCCTTTCAATTCATTTTTTTATGATGTATAATTTTAAGTGTTTTGTTATTGCAATGCGTTAGGTATTCAATGTTTTCGTATATGTGTTTATGTTCTTTTTTGCTTTAAAATTTGTTTATATTATAGTTTCATGTTTACTATGCTTTACCTTTCAAGCATATGAACATGGTTATAAATGTTTTAGGGTGTTTAAACCACATTGAGTTTCTGACATTCAAAGATTTGTGTTGAAATTGTTATTCTTTAGTGTCTTAATCCCTTTTACCATGGAATAGATCTTAATTATAGTTTGAGATGAGTACAACATGTTTGCATTGAATTATATCAACTTTTGAAAAGCATAAGGTTTTAGTTCTTAAAGAAATTTAGTGTGTTCTCCAAGTCCAAACCTTTACAAAGGTACGATGGTAGCCTTATGGTGTATTATGTCAAAAATTTCCAAAGTTATCCAAAATTAGAATCAAACAGGTTTAGATAGAAAAAACTTCAAAAAAGCTAACATCTCTAATATTAATTTCAATTTATATTTTAAGTTTTATTTACTTGTCATTAACTTATACTCGAATATATGTTTTAAATATTATTTGGTGTTCTTTTTTCAATTTATATTGAGTCTTATTTAAAAACTCATAAAATATTTTTTTTAAATGTTCGCGGGTAGACAAGTATCAACAGGTACCCTTGGGTTGAAAAAAATCCGCAGATTTTTTTTATGGTATCCCACGGGTAGTAGGGTGAGTAACAAATACAATTTTTTTGTGGGTCAGGTAGTAGGTAGGCATTAGCCATACCCGACCTAACCCAACCCATTGTCATCCCTACTCATTGGAATATTGAAAAGGAATATAATAATGATTTATGTACTTGTTAAGGATGACAACAATATTTGTGCCCTCAGATATATCTGAATAAAATTGCTGCGAATAGTTGATACTCATGGGTATTTATTATCAACAAGTAGTAAATATTTTAATACTCATGTACAAATGAGTCGGGTATGAGTATTATGCAACCCGTACCCGCAAGGTTCATTATTTACAAGAGATTAAAATTAAAAATTAATTTATATTTTATTAAATTAAATTTAATTAAAATTAAAATTCAATTTATATTGTATTAGGTTAAATTTGATTAAAATTAAAATTTAATTTAATTTTTATAATTATATTTAATTATAATTTATAAAATACATTTGTTTATATATCTGAGTATACATAAATATCACATATTCTTAAAATTTGTGTTTATTTTTAAAGCGGATATTTGATAATGATAACAAGTTGAACTTTTTGTTACGGGTCAAATAACATGTAGACACTATTTATGTCTATATTGCTATCCTAATACTAGTGTTTATCAAAAATATCTTATGTATTTTATCTGTAATTAATGAGTTTAAAAGTGAAGTTAGATTTAACAGAGGAAAATCAATATAAAAACATTATATTGTTCTTGCTTGGAATGTTACTTCAACAGTTTAGGTTTTCACTTATAAAACTTATCTCAACGTTTTGGAAAAATTATAACTTTTTCAAGTTGTTTTAATAAAAATTGCTTTTGAAATAACTTACATAGTTGGGAGTTTAATATGGAATGTCTTGTCTAAATATTTTTAATCCATTTAAATATATTTTCAGTTCATTAAAATCATCAAAGTGTGAAATTTAAGTGCTTAATCCGTTAAAACAATATGAAATTCAAATGCTTAAAGGTTTAATTAAAATAATAAATTTAAATTATTAAAATATTTTTCATTTCAAATCCAAAAAATTAAAAATAACACTTTAATAGATTAAATATATTTTAATCTATTAAAATAAGAATAAAGATTTTAAACAAAGCTAAATTTTTTTCAAATAAATTGTTTTCTTTACCTATGTTAAATAAACATAAAGAAACCATCTACAACATTTTTAATATATAAATTATAACCTACATATACAATAATACTCTATATTTGTTTCAAGTATCCTTAAGAAAATAAAAATCATCCAACCTATTCAAAGATATTTGAAAGAATGTGAGGAGCATTATCGGTTAGACTTTAGTAAGTGAATAATATTTAATAAATAAAGTTGAATAAAATAGATAAAAGTGGTCAAGTTCAGAATGAAAATTACAATTTAATGAATGGTATAATTTTGCTTGAAAATAATTTTAATATTTATAAATTTGTAGATGTATTTTAAATTTTTATTTGTAGTATAATTTTTTTTGTTAAAATTTAGTAATAAATTTTATAAAGCCTATAGTCTATTTATTAACTAAAGATTTAGTATATTTATTTCATTTATTTAAAACTAAAATAAAAGTATTTCTTTTTTAAAAAAGTTGACTCGGTATAAAATAAAACTATGCTAGAATAACTAAAATAAAAGTATTTCTTTTGAATAATTTTCTATAAAGAAACTGTATAAATAAACTAAATGATTAAAAATCTATCTACTAAAATTATTAAATAATTCTTAATTGGATAATTTATCTTAAAATATATAATTGGATTGGAAATTCATTTCAAATTAATTATGTCTACAAAATTTTATATTAATTTAAAATTATTTAATATTTTGTTCATATGCATTAAAATTAACATGACATATTTCTATAAAATATAAAAACATGAATATATTTATATTGTTTTCTTATATATCATTTTTCTCAAGTTCTGACATTAGAAAGTATTAACTTATTGATAGGGTAAAAATTAATTGTACTCTCAACTCTTTCTCTATAGATATTTTTCAAATTTAATCACACTATAGTATTTTATTTATTTTAATATTTATACTTTTTTTAAAAGATAATATATTTAATATTTATTTGAAAAATAGTTAAGATCTATGTTCAAATTTAATATCTGATGGTTTCAAATAAGTGAAAATATCACTTTTTAAAAGATTCTAATCAACATGTTTTCAAAAAAAAAACCACTTGGATTGTAATATCACACTATCCAGTTCTGTGGATTATTTTATTTCGTTTTCTCATTTTATTTTCAACAGCTGATTAATTCAAATAATTTAATTAAAATACTATCTTTATTATTTTACCATTAAACTTGTCCCAATAACCTTTAAGGTAAGGTTTCATCATTGAATGTTGATATGCCTTAGTGACTCAGATTACAAATAACTATGTATCAATGTTCATAATAGTAATAATAATAATAATAATAAAAAAGTGTAACCCAAGAATCTCTACCCAAACAATCTCCAATACATTGTACAAAAAAATATATAAATAATATGTAGTTGTGGGTTGTAATAATTTCCAACAGCAAAAGATGTAATAATAAAAACAATGTAATAATTAGGTTCCATATTTTTTTAATTATTTTATTGCAATTTGTAATTAATTAATTAATATTAACTATTAAGAATCAACGCTGAAAGTCCCTCTTCATCGATGTCTTAAGCAGGAGAAAACACACACTCTCTCTTCTCTCTCTCCCTCTCCTTCTCTTCCTCTCTCTTCTTTTCCTTCTTCCGTACACGATCTCTTTCACTATCTTCCAATTCCCAATTTTTTCAACATACGCCACTGCAATCCTCCTTCATTTTCTTGCATTTTCGGTTTCTGGGTCTGTTTTCCTTTTAGGGTTCTCAGTGGTTCAGAAAAAAAAATGTTTTCTTTTTCTTCCCTTTATCCATACTCAGATTTGAGTTGAGCATCACACAGTGGGGTTGAGTTCAGATTCACTGGCGTGGAGCAATTCGCAGTAAGTTTCCAGCTTTGTTGCATTTTGGGCTTGTTCTAATTTCAGTGAACCATGATCGAGTTGATTGATTTAACTGTTTTCTGTGTCCAGTGTTATGTGTGGGTGATGAGTGGATCTGGGGTTTGATGTGATTTCTTTTAGTAATGGGGGTATGGTTTCACTTGGGGGTATGAGTAATTTGGTGTAGTTGGACTGTGTGAAGTTGAAAGGTTGAATTTTTTTTAGGCAGGTTTTAGTAAGCTGGGTATTGGAGAACATTCAAAGGGTAATCTATATGTGAATAATAGTTTGATTTGGAGATGAATTTCTACTGTTTCGACTATCTGTATACAAATTTTTATGGCGTTGATATTTTCGTATGCATTATTTACTTATTTTGTATTTCTAGGTTATAACTTTGCAGTTGGGGCATGTTAAACTGTGTATTTTTAAGTTGCTAAATAAGGAGTTTGAGCTGATGTGAAGTAGTGGATGTTGTTGTCTAACTAAGGCTTTAAAGTTTCGGGGAGTTGTAGAATCTGTATACGAGATTTGTATTGCAAATGATGTCACGTTGCATTAGTCTATGCAGATTAGGATTAGCAAGGTTAGAGGTGTTTAGAGTTGACTATATTTGATTAATACAGTATTGGGTTTTGGGCTTGGGATTCTGGGTTAGTCTGATGGAATTGTTGATTTTTTATAGTTAATTTGTTGTTGTGTTGTATCCAGTTTAAGATGTTTCTCTTTCCGTACACTGTTTGATCAGCTTATTGGAAAAAGTAGATAAATTAGTTACAGAGCATAAACTAGAGATTCGTTGGATTGTTAGTTTATGCTATCACCGTTTGGAAATATATTATTTAGGACAGTATTATCATAGTTTTACATATGTAGAAGAGTTTGGATACATTATGTACACAAAGTTGTGAAAATATTGATTTTATAGTGATTGAGTATATGTGTTATTCTTTGTTGCAGGGTTTTAGTAACCATTCAGTCCCTAATTTCTGTCTCTAACTCTAATACTGCTTTTGGAATTATTGGATTCTTCATTTGATGAGGGTTTTGGCCGGATTGCGTGTAACTCCAGATAGTAATTTGAAGTGATAGATATTCCAAACTATCAATGGTACTAATTTAAGAAACTTGTTTACTGCCTATACAAATTACAAATATGCCTACATGGTGGGGGAAATCATCGTCAAAAGAAACCAAGAAGAAAGCAAATAAGGAAAGTTTTATCAATTCATTTCACCGCAGATTTAAAATCCCATCTGAAAGTAAATCAAGCAGTAGATCTGGAGGATCTCGTAGACATTGCAATGATTCAATTTCTGAGAAAGGGGCTCAGTCTCCTCCTGAATCAAGATCTCCGTCACCTTCCAAAGTGGCAAGGTGTCAAAGTTTTGCTGAAAGGCCTCATGCTCAGCCGCTACCACTTCCTGTCCTGCACCCATCAAATATAAGCCGGGCAGACTCTGAAATTAGCATATCAGCTAAATCAAGACTTGAAAAAGGCTCCAAACCATCATTGTTTCCACTACCAAAACCAGCATGCATGCGTGGTAGGTTGAACCCTGCAGATTTGGATGGAGACCTGGTCACTGCTTCAGTCTCTAGTGAGAGCTCTGCTGACAGTGATGAGCCAGTGGACTCTCGCAATCTTAGTCCTTTGGCAACTGACTGTGAAAACGGGGCTAGAACTGCTGCAGGCTGTCCTTCCAGGTATACTCTATAAGCATTCACTATAATATGCTTCTAGCTTGCATATTTTGTTGCATAAGCATGCCTAGGGTGTGTATTTTTAGACATAGGGAACAGAGTTGTGTCTTCACTTAAAAGCTTAAGCTTTAGGGATAGTTGGTTCATGGCATGTTATCAAAGCCTCAGCTCAATCCTTGCTGCCCCATTCTATAAAAAAGTTGAATATTGGCATAAGGTAGGGGACCAAGGAATTATCCATGCAGGAAGTTCAATGGTATATAGGGTGTGTTGGAGATATAACATAAAACCATTCTTGAGTCATCATCTTAAGCTTAAGCTTTTGGGATGGCTAGTTCATGAAATTTATGATTACTAGCAAATAATTTTTTATTTTACTCATTTTGGATGTTGGCCTTTTTATGAAGCTCGATGCCCAAGGATCTATCATCTACTGTTTCCCAAATAAATTCAAGAGAAACCAAAAAACCGGCAAACATTCTGGGTAATCACATGTCTTCTACTTCACCAAAACGGAGGCCTTTAAGCAACCATGTTTCAAATTTGCAGATTCCTCCTCATGGTGCCTTCTGCAGTGCACCTGATAGTTCCAAATCAAGTCCGTCTAGAAGTCCATTGAGAGTATTTGGCACTGAACAGGTGTTGAACTCTGCTTTTTGGGCCGGAAAGCCATATTCGGAGGTCAATTTAGGTGGATCTGGGCACTGCTCAAGTCCAGGTTCTGGTCACAATTCTGGACATAATTCAATGGGAGGAGACATGTCTGGACAGTTATTTTGGCAACCTAGCAGGGGTAGCCCTGAATATTCTCCTGTACCTAGTCCCCGAATGACTAGCCCTGGACCTAGCTCTAGAATTCAGAGTGGTGCAGTTACACCTATTCATCCTAGAGCTGGGGGAACACTCAATGAATCACAGACAGGACGGGTTGATGATGGAAAACAACAGAGTCATCGTTTGCCCCTTCCTCCTTTAGCAGTTACCAATATTTTACCTTTCTCTCATTCAAATTCTGCAGCAACTTCTCCATCCATGCCAAGAAGTCCGGGAAGGGCAGATAATCCAATAAGCCCTGGATCACGTTGGAAAAAAGGAAAACTGCTTGGCAGAGGCACATTTGGACATGTCTTTGTTGGCTTTAATAAGTACGAGTTCTAGACCAATTGTTCTTTGATTCTATTACAAAGAATTTTTTTTCTACTTTTAAATCCACTATCTTATGCATCTTATAAATTGTTTGGTTAAAATATTTTGATGTTTAGGGAAAGTGGTGAAATGTGTGCTATGAAAGAGGTGACTCTGTTTTCAGATGATGCCAAATCTAAAGAAAGTGCTAAGCAATTAATGCAGGTAAATATATTTCCTTTTTTGACCCTGGAATTTTTTGTTTGATGTGCAACCGTTATTCTCATTGGAAATACATTAGTGTCTATTTCTGTTTCAAATTTAGTGTAGCTTTGAAAAGCTAACTCCCATATTGTGGCAGGAAATTGCCTTATTAAGTCGATTGCGGCATTCAAATATTGTGCAGTACTATGGTTCTGAAACAGTAAGTTGCCCATTTCCTTATTGGTTTGCGTTCTGTTTATATTAGCTACTTTTAAGTGATCATATTTATTTTGGGCATTTTATCCCAATTTGTAATGCTTGTATGATCATCTAGTTACAAGATTATTAGTTGGTTTATATATTTACCTGACACCAGAATATTATAAATTTGTCTACAGTTTGTCATTTTATAATGAATCATCCCTTAAACAGGTCGGTGACAAGCTTTACATATATCTGGAGTATGTCGCTGGAGGCTCCATATATAAACTTCTTCAAGAGTATGGACAATTTGGTGAACTAGCTATTCGTAGTTTTACACAACAAATTTTGTCCGGACTTGCTTATTTACATGCTAAAAATACTGTCCACAGGTGAACTAAGTCACATTTATTTTTAAAACTTAAAATTTTACTAATTCCTTATAATGTGACTGCTTTTCTATGCTTATGAGTTCTGATATCTATCTCTTAAATTGCATTTCTTGTAAAGGGACATCAAAGGAGCAAATATACTGGTAGATACTAACGGTCGGGTTAAGTTGGCGGACTTTGGCATGGCAAAACATGTAAGCTTGGGGATAAAAATTATCCTTTTTATTTGCATATAAGCCAATTGGTAGGATATGAAATTTGGTTTTTGTTGCTTGTGAAATTATGAATCAAGGTTTAAAACTTCCTAATTCACCAATTCAAGAGAGTTGCTAATTCAGTGGGTTTCTTTTCAGGTTTCTTTCTTGTATTTTTTTACCTTTTTTTGGAAGATATCTTTCCTGTCACACCTCCAACAAGTGTATCATGCATGACTTCAACTTGGAAAAATATCTCTATGAATCCAAAAGACATTGTTTTCCTTCATAATTGCCATTTGATATCACATCTGGTATAAATAATCGCAAGATTGCATGATCTATCCTGTTCCCTCAACTATTAACCTGCATATTTTTGCAGATAACAGGGCAATCATGTCCATTATCATTCAAGGGAAGCCCCTATTGGATGGCTCCTGAGGTAGTAATCTTTTCTGTTAGTTTCAGTTCTTTATAGTTTCAATTACATCTTGCTTTTGATGACATGATAGCTTGTCGTTCTAATATTTTAGGTTATAAAAAACTCCAATGGTTGCAACCTTGCCGTTGATATATGGAGCCTGGGATGCACAGTTTTGGAAATGGCTACAACTAAACCTCCTTGGAGTCAGTATGAAGGGGTTAGTAATTTATGTCAATATATTGGAAGTTTTAGCTAGCTTTTTTATATTCTATTTCCCGACTATTATTTTATGTAGTTTATTATTTTCATTTATAAAGCATTGATGATATTTCTTGTTTTAATTTATGTGTTGACTTGATGTATTATTGGCTTTGCATGATAACAAAAAAGGTTGCTGCAATGTTCAAGATTGGTAATAGCAAGGAACTCCCAGCAATCCCGGATCACCTATCTAGTGAAGGAAAGGATTTTGTTAGGAAATGTCTCCAACGGAATCCACACAATCGCCCTTCGGCAAGTGAATTATTGGACCACCCTTTTGTAAAATATGCTGCACCTTTAGAGAGACCTATTCTAGGTCCTGATGCTTCTTCAGACCCAGCCGTATCTGGGATCACACAGGGAGCTACAGCTCTGGTAAGGAAGCTACTGGCAACATTAATCACGTAAAAAATTGTCTATTTTCATATTAGTGTGAAGTTGGGGATTGCCTGTTTATCTTGCATTCCATGTGTTAAATATTTGTGCCCCCTTATTCCCCATGCACATGATAGGAATGAAATAGGAAGCCATCTTCTCTTCTACTTGAAAATGTAAGACATTTTTGTGTGCTTCATCCATTCAAATTCCTCGGTTGATGAGTCATTTTTCTTGGTATTATGTTGTGTAGACATTTTGTTCTCTTGGAAATATAAATTTGAATAATTGAATCTATCAGAGACTATAATAATAATATTTCGGAGGGGGGATTACGTACAAAATTGTAATATTTATGAATGAAAAATATAGTTTCCAAACCCTTAACAAGCCTTTATTTGGATTTGCTTGGATAAATTTTTCCATAACTTCTGGTAGAAAAGTATTAGTAAAAATGGAATAAACCTCTCTACCAGCTTTTGTTTTTGCATAGCTTCCCCAAAACTAATTTATGTACAAGTTAATTTTAGCTTAGCAAGAGATTTATTTCATTTTTTCTTATTTTTTCCATGTCACTGTTTGCAGAGACATTAATTTAAACAGGTCCATTGACATACTATACTTGATGGGCTCTTCTAGGGCTTCCTGATCAATTTGTGTCATAGTTTATAATCAGTATCACCTTTAAATTATTTAAATAGGTTCTCATAAAATTGAAAAAACAAATCCTTGAAAAATTGCTGAAATATTCAAAATCAAACTTCACTATTATTTCCCTCCCTTTGTCATGCATCAATATATTTTTGTTGTCTTGATTACCCAACTGATTAAACTCATAAATGGCCTGTATTCAGCTGATATATTTCTATTTTGGAATCATGACATAGTAATAACTTAAGCCTTTTTGTGTTATTGTTTGGAGAAAAGGATTTGTATTCTTGTTGAAATGTGTGATTCCCATCAATGCTTCATCCTGTCTCACTGATTCCCTTGGAAGTAGAGAATAAAAAAGACAGGGTTAGGCATAGACAACTAGAGAAACTTTACGAAACCATTTGCTTTCTACAAATTATAAGATAGAATCGCTCCATTAACTTGGAGGAAAGTACACACATGGAGGTTGGAGAAACAACTGCTGATGAAGACTGTTGCCGTCAGCAGAATTGTGGTTATGATTAAGCAAAATAAATTTTCTTATCTGGGTGTTCATTTGAACTATATCTCAATTGTATAATACTGGAAAATTTGGCTGTCATAATGGAATGATCTTTGAAGTTGTTTTCTTTTATGGTTTCTTGTCTATCTTTGTAAATATTGTGGTTGTGATACATTTTCAGGGTATTGGACAAGGAAGGAGTCCTTCTACATTGGATTCAGATAGACTTTCCCGTCACTCTTCTAGGTTTTTGAAAAGTAATCCTCATGCAAGGTCTGTCTCTCTCTCTCTCTCTATACACACACACACACACACACCTGTCTCCCACCCTCACACACACAAACACTGCAATGCAAGGTTGCTGACACTGCCTATGGATCTGAAATTGCTTTATCATCTACAGTGAAATCCATATTCCGAGGAATATATCCTGCCCTGTCTCACCCATTGGAAGCCCACTTTTGAGGCCAAGATCGCCACAACATATGAATGGGAGAATGTCTCCCTCTCCTATATCCAGTCCTCGGACTGCTTCTGGTGCATCCACACCTCTCAACGGTGGTAGTGGTGCCATTCCATTCAGTAATCACTTAGTTTACATTCAAGAGGGTCTTGGAAACTTGCCGAAGTCCTCAAATGGTGTCTACATTAGTGGCCCTACTCATCATGACTTGAATCTTGACATTTTTCGAGGAATGCAACAGGCGCCTCACATTTCATCAGAACTGGTTCCAGGTGAAAGTGATGTTCTAGGGAAGCAGTTTGCACGGTCTCCTCGTAACGAGGCATATGATGTTCAATCAGTCTTGGCTGATCGTGTTTGTCGGCAGCTACTGGGGGATAATGGGAAAATCAACCCATCCCTTGATCTAAATCCCAATTCTTTGCTCAGCCGGGCTAATGGTTTATGACATGGGGCATTTTCCTTGGTCCACCTTTGTGAGCAAATCTTTGAAGTTTGTCAGAATGATCCATTCATTGTTCTATTTGCTGAGGAAGTAATTGTAAAATAAGGAGCCAAAGCATACGAGAATCAATGTAATAAATTTTGATCGGAGAATAGAGGGAGCTGAGTCAGACTATTCCATTTTGCATGGTTTCCCTCCAGGCTTATGGAGTTCAGAACCTTTGGGGTGAGGTGACAAACTAAGCCATACGATGAAAATTCCTGACATTTGATTTGTCTATATCAACTGAAGCAAATGCTCACTTGTAGCAAAAAGAGAAGCTTATGTTTGTATGTAGAATTTTCAAGATACAGCATCAGTGCGTGGATTTCTCTCTGGTGTCTGAAATATGAGAAATGATAGGTTTAATGTTAATATTAGCTCAAGGAATGAATTTTTCTAATCATATTTATGCACTTCCTTCAGTTAAAGAATTCATGCAATGACAACTGTATCTTTTTGAACATCATATAGATGCAAAAAAAAAGTGAAATTGGTGCAAAATTTAGCATCCAGACTATTTTTTGGGAGGTGATATTGCTGTACAGAATATGGGAGACTGAATTGTGATTCTGCATTTATTGATGAGAAGCCAAGGATTTGCGAAACTGATATATATCTCTTAATTGCATGCTCAGATATATTACTATCACTGAATCCTTCTGCCGGATTTATTATGTACATTATTTTTTTAAGTAAAAATTGAAGATATATATGATTTGAGATTCATTGTTCTATTTGAGATATATATGATTTGAGATTCTCTCAACTGGTTTTTATTCATCTGATGTCGTTATTCTTTCTAGTATTATTTTCCCTGTAGTGATTCATGTATTAAAATCATGTTTAAATTACTAAGTTGGTCTTTGAAAAATTTCAAATAAATGATTGGAACGTTTAATCGGATTCCTAAATCAGAAAAGTAAGTTCACTGGTAAACCACAAAATTGATGTGAAGATTTTAAAGATCACAGGATTCAATTAAAAACAATTATATGTTCAAGGTTGTTTAAAAAATTTCTAATGGTCCAGGAACTTACAGATTTAACTTAAAATGTTCAAAAGTTTTTATAGAAATTGTTTTAATATTTTCTTGAAGTTTGATTTATTGTATTTATACTGATGTACGGAGTCATACTCATTTCAAGAATTGTCCTTCAAAGCACAGGCCCTTTGGCAACTTTTGATTTAGGTACTTTTGGGCAGCTTCTTTCTGCATCTCTATAATTTCATCATACACATTTGAAAATTTCTATTTTAAAATCTAGTTTAATATTTTTATTTTGAGTTTTGAGTTTCAGAATATAGAGATATTATATAATAGACAATTTGAAATATTAAATTTGTATTTCAAAATACACAATTTAGAATATAAAATTTATATTTTAAATTCTACATTCTGGATTAAAAAAAAATACATTTTGAATTCATAGTCCTATTCTGATTTTGTAATTCAGAATGTATTTTTTATTTTTTATTCTGAAATACACAATTTAAAATAAATATTTTGAAATGTATAATTTGAAATATAAATTTTGAAATAAATAATCTCAAATATAAGTTTTATATTTAGGATTGTGTATTTTAAAATACAAAATAAAAAATACATTTCAAATTATCCAATGCAAAATTTATTTTTTAATAAGATGAAGAAGGGTAGGGAAGGAAAAAAGAGATGAAACAGGAATAAGGACAAATAGATATTTTCACAAATCTATAAGAGTGCAGAACGAAATGTACGGAGGTGCAGGAAGAAATAGCCTCACTTTGAGGCAGTTTACTTTTTGCGGTCTGACCTCCTTAATTTCTATGTTTTTTGAGCCACTAAGCTAATGGCGAAAAGGGAATTTTAATTTGTTTAATTCTTCGAATTAATAAAACTTATGTGTTTAGTTTTTATTAGAGATTAAATATATATATATATATATATATATATATATAT